TATGGATAATATGGTCCGTTTAACATAATATTATATTATAAATCGAACCAGTAATAACATATTACATACATTGCCTACGATTTTATCGCATCGATATCGTTCCATTTCTACACATCGTCATTTTATGCGCAAGTATGTGAAGCATGCAATGCACACTTATTGTACTCTTTTACGTTTTCTATTCTTTTTTTGGATAAGCCGGTAAACGAGCAGACGGATCACTGATGATAAGCAATCAGCGCCTCCCATGAACACCTGAAACACCAGAGACGTTACTAGTGCGTAACCGGACTTCTGGCCTACTGGTATTAGGGATTTGAGGATTTTTAGGGATTCGGGGATTGGGGAGGGTAATTGGGCCTCTGGTACCCTCACTTACAGGACGAAACGCAACGCAAGCATTGTTTCACGTCGGCTTTTTGTGAGGCCGTGGTATCATTCCGGTCGAACCGACTCATTCGTCGAAATGTGAATATCTAAGGAATCTGAATTAAAAAATGGTTATTAAACTGATACATGGGTAACACGTGCGAAATAACTGGCAAATGTTAGTATTTAATACTTACGTTACACAACTCTCCAATCCCTTAATAGACCGGACTAACCTACATACAACTACTATAACTAAAACATGCCATAAAACAACACATTACCTACATAGGTTCGTGTTCTAAGGAGGTCATAAAATCGCCTCCCTAGCCTGAATGTACTAAAAATTGCTTTTATAAAGTATGGTTTAGGTACTCTGTGCCATTTTACGTTGGTACTTAGCCTTTTAGTTACGACCAATAGGACCTTGAGATCAAAACTAAGCTAAGCTAACCTATGTACTTAGTTTTTATCGGAAAAAGTTAGTGGCTGTTGGTAGGTTTCGAACCCGCACCTTCATGCATGAGAAGCGAGCGTCTTAAACCTAAGGGCCACCACGACACTCACATTATATCACCCATAAATCGCTCAACAAGAAAGAGCCAGTATAGTAGATAATAAATATAAAATAATAAATAAATTATAGTAAAGTAAGAAATAAATTATAGTAAAGTATACCAGCATGCCACGTCATGCCACGCCATGTCACGCCATGTCACGCCATGTCACTAGATGCCACATGATGCCACGCGATGCAATGCTATAATATGCTATGCTATGTTACGCTATGCTATGCCTTGGTATGTTATGCTATGCTGTGCTAAACTATGCTATGCTGCTATGCTATTATGTGCTATGCTATTATATGCTATGCTATGTCATGTTAGCTGCTAACCTATGCTAAACTATGCTATGCTGCGTAGTTGTAAACCTATGCTAAAGTATGCTATGCTCTATGCTATGCTATGCTAAACTAAACTATGCTGCTATGTCATGCTATGCTATTCTATGCTATGCCTCGATATGTTACGCTATGCTATGCTGCTATGGTATTATGTGCTATGCTATTATATGCTATGCTGTCATATGCTATGCTATGTCATGTTAGCTGCTATCCTATGCCATGCTATGTTATGCTATGCTATGCTGCTATCCTACTCTAAATTATGCTATGCTCTGCTATGCCATGCTATGTTACGTTATGCTATGCTGCTATCCTATGCTGTTATATGCTATGTTGTCTTATGCTATGCTATGTCATGTTAGCTACTATGCCATGCCATGCTATGCTATGCTATGCTATGCTATGTTATGCTATGCTATGCTAGGCTATGCTATGCTATGCTATAATAATAATAATAATAATCAATTTTATTTCAGACTTAGTCCATATTTGTTAGTAACAATGATCTTAATCTAGTGTTAGTAAAAATACACACAACAATCAGAGACAATAATAACATACAAATAAATAAATGAGTAATAAGTTAGTAACAATATTCTTAGCCGAGTGTTAGTAAGATACATAGATATACATATATACTTGTGATTATGTCAGGCACTTGCTCTCACGTGTAGGCCTATCCAGTGCGCCATCAGCACCGAATCCCAGCGTCCGGCACACGCGGCCAGCATGCCGCTAGGGCTGCCGCGCACTCGCGACATCATCGATGCACAGCGCTTACGCATGATGGCATGGAAGCCATCCACATGCGCCTCCGCGAACATGCCACTCGCACTACAGTAACGCGGCAGCCCCATCAACACCCTGAACGCGTTGTTGTACTGAACCCGGAGGGCGTTGTACGTCCCCTGCGTGTATTTAGCCCACAAACTGCATGTGTAAAATGTTTGGCAGAATGCCCTAAATAGTGTTACTTTCACTTCTTGGGCACAACGAGCGAACCTTCGAGCCAACATATTACAGCGGACACACAACGCCCTACGTTCTCTCGCAATGTCCATATCGTCCTTCAGGTCATCGGTAACCCAGTGGCCCAGATACTTGAAATGTGCCACTCGGTTTAAAGGCGTACCATAGAGTGAAACAGGTGGTATGTCTGAGAGATTCTTTTTTAATGCCTTAAAAACCATAACCTCACTCTTCTTTACGTTGTATCTGAGCCCATGAGCTCCGCATACCTTTCACACGTACGAAGCAGCCTTCGCAACGCGCCGATTGATGGGCTGAGCAGCACCATGTCAATCCGCATAACTAATATTATTTACGCAAACGCCATCTATGTGACATCCAACTCCTGTGCTGCTCAGCTCTCCAATCAAGCGATCCATGTACAAGTTAAAAAGTTTAGGCGAGGTCAGCCCCCCCTGCCTCACCCCGCACTCCAACCTGTACTCGTTCGATGTACTATCACCCCAATCTAATAGTATTTTTCTGATTGTTATACCAATACTGGAATATTGATATAACCTCAGGACACAAACTAGTGTCTTGTCGCATCTTTTCCCACAATAGATCGTAAGAGACCATATCAAATGCCCGTGAGAGATCCAGAAAACAAGCGTATACAGGCGTCCTCCGTGCGGTATAGTAGTGAACGGTTTGCTTGAGACACATGATAGCACTTTCTGTAGATAGACCAGCCCGAAAACCAAACTGGCCATCATGTAGGTTTATATGTCTATTTAGATGGTTATCAAGCAGACCGTCCATCACCTTTGCTATAACCGTTGCCAACGAGATAGGCCTATAGTTTGACTCATCCGAGATGTCACCAGTTTTATTTTTTACAATAGGAACAACGATGGTAAACATGAGATCGTCGGGCAGGTAGGAGTGGCTGATACAAAGATTAAATAGCAAAGCCAAAACCCTCGGCAAATGTACCCCGGCATACCTCAGGTGCTCAATGCTGAGGCCATCATGCCTGGTGACTTTCCTCTTTTGAAGGATTTTATAACTGCACTTACATCCTTCGCAGTGAATCTCAAATTAATATCATGTGATGTAGTCCCAGCACTGGACACCGACGGCAGGCCAGATCGTGCAGGCCTCAAAAACGGTTCAACCCTAAAATGCTGTCGAAACAACTTCGCAATATCACCCGCATCATTTACCCCTCCAACGCTCACGGGCCGGCTCGGTTTAAGATTAAGTCTGTTTGTTGCCTTCCAAAATTTTGAGAACTTATTATCAGAATGGTGTCGCGCTATCATATCCATTTTAATTTTATGTTGATTATTTTGACACCATTTTAATTTTGCCTTAAATAATCGCCTTGAGTTCGTCATCTCATTGAATAACCATCCAGAACTAGGTTTCCCATACAATACCCAATTCTGATAACAATGCCGAGCTTTTCCGTGTGCATCTTTCACGTGTCTGTTCCACCCAATCATGTGCTTACCCTTACCCGGCTTTGAGGCCACCCGATATGAGTACTCCGCGCCCGCTATCAATATACTTACAATAGTTTTATACATATCATTAATTACTGTTTTGTGATTCATACAGGTACACATCCTATCACAACAAGCAACACAATCCGCTGGAAAGTCAATGTCTCTCAACTTGTCATGACAAAATTTGTGGTAACTTTCAATTTGACAGTCTTGCCTCTCTCCCCAAACTACCTTACTTTCACAAATATGTTTAACAATAATTTTAGATTTTATTAAATTCAAATTACAAGTTAACTGTATAGGATAATGATCGGACCAGTATGTATCGTACAGTATAGTCACGCGATCGACAGTCTCACGTGCGGCGCTCGAGACCACGCAGTGATCGAGCCACCGGCGACATCCGTGCGCCTCACTGACAAAAGTATGTGAATCACATGGCAACATGTCAAGATCAACACATACCCATAACTGTTCTGCACAAAAGTCTATAAGTTGGTTAGCAAATAACTCACCCGGGTGCGCGTTGAAATCCCCCAACACATACACAGATTCCACGTCACTATTCTCAACAATTGAATTTATTTCGCCGAGGCACTCCGTGAACTCGATCAAATTGTCTTTTGAATCCGTAGGCATGTACACAGACACAATCAGCATGGAACACACACCAATGTCAACCCTAATCGCCGCCACACGATCACTATTGCACTGCAACACTGTAACTGAGGGAAACACAGACTTCCTCCACAGCACTGCCACACCTCCATACGGGCGGCCGCGAAGCACACCAGCCGACGTATCCATGGCAGACTTGCCGGTGAACGCGAAATCATCGCTGATGCTGCCCAGGAATGGAATATCATGCGGCAATAGCCACGTCTCCTGTAATGCTATTATGTCTGCTGATCCACACATTTTTCGTACACATTCCGCCGATCTCACTATATTCTTACAGTTGAATGAAACGAGTTTAGCGTTATTATCCATGAGAAATATTAAGACTACACACGTACCGATTTTTCACCAACATTTTTACCGTTGCTTTTATTTTTAAAGTCTACAAAACGTCTATAAGCAACACCCTCTGGCCAAAAATCATCATTTAGAAAGATTTCTAATTTCTGCTTAGGTACTAAAACCTTGTAGGCATCATACGGCTTTGATATCTTCATTTGCATTTTTTCCAACTGAACAGAAACATCAGTTTTACCTGCAATATAATTCTTTATATCACCTACCGGCACTCCCTTCGCTACGTTATATATTTATATAGGGATACTTATGTCTGCGGCTTTAAAACTCGCTTCTGGGCGTAAGATTGCCCTTCCTCGATTTGCAGCAAACCGGTTCCTTAAACGTTTATTTTGTACTAAGTTCCATTCTTTGTCCACTTTTGGTGTTTTCCATTCACCATCGCGTACAATGTCAGCCATAGATTTCTTCTTTTCCTGTGCGGTATTGCTTACATTCGTAACGGCCGTGTGTCCCGCCTCGCAAGGTACTTCGATTGCAGCTGATTGCGTATGAGTCATCGTGCCACCGGTCGCTAACGCCGCATCCTGACAATCGCTCTCATTCGAAAAGTTATTAATTTCGCGACCATTCTTCCGAATACCCTCACTTTCAGATAAAAATTGAGTGTTGTGATAATTTGACTCAGCTCGTATTTCGCTAGACTCCCTGTACGAATTATTATAAATTTCGCGACCATTCTTCCGAATACCCTCACTTTCAGATAAAAATTGAGTGTTGTGATAATTTGACTCAGCTCGTATTTCGCTAGACTCCCTGTACGAATTATTATGTTCTGCTCCTACGTACGCAAGTCCTCTAGGTCCACTGCAGTAGTCATCGTGACTATCCAGTAAAAAACCACCTCTCTTTATATTTATATTCCGGGGGGTACTTCCAAAGTTATTCACAATTGATGTTCTTTTTAGACTTTCCAGGTCAGATTTCACCACATCTAAGCTGTCTTTAGTCACATATTGTTCTTTCATTTGAAACATCTCCTGCTGAATCCGCATCAAGTCCTTTAAGATCCGGGTAACGTCGACATGATCGAAAAGTACAGGTGGTAGTTTGTGTAGATCTCGGGCCACAAAAACCGGTAAGATCTCCGGATCCGATTCCTTTAACATGCAGATGATGTCGTCTATTTCCCGGACCTTTTTCCCATCCCTCTTCCTTGTCTTCTTACGCTTCTCCGCAGGTAAGGACTCGCACAATAGATTCTTTGCACTTTGGATATCCTCGTTCGAAAATGCACTCACACATATTTGGCTAATGCTCTCTTCGTTCATTACATCGATTTTATTACTTACAAAGGCCAGAACCTCGTTAATAACAATGTTACAACTCGAACATTTCAACAACTTAGAAGCCATGGTTGGTCCGACGCTATACTATGCTAGCTATACTATGCTATGCTATGCTATGCTATGCTATGCTATGCTAAGCTATGCTAAGCTATGCTAAGCTATGCTATGCTAAGCTATGCTAAGCTATGCTAAGCTATGCTATGCTATGCTATGTTATGCTAAGCTAAGCTATGCTAAGGTAAGCTATGCCATGCTATGCCATGCTATTATATGCTATGATATTACACACTATGCTATGTCATGTTAGCATTGCTATGCTATGCTACGCTATGCTATGACTTTATGTACTTATACACTGATTGCAACGGGCGCGCGGTGACTGAGACTTATTTTACTGACTGTCGGACTTTATTCTACTACTAACTATACTCCGTTTGTTTAGGTAGTTAACTATTTGTAAACAAACCATAAAAAGAGTTCTTTATAGTTGACATTTCCATGATTCAAAATACTTCATAAGAAAATAAAATTGTTTCCGTTTTTACGACAGTTTTCTCTATTAAATGTTATGTTTCTGTTCCTTTTCACTTATTTCTTAGTAAATATTATATATATCTGCTTGAGGATATTAATTTAATAACATTTATTAAATAATATAATATTACATTACAATAGACACCATAAAGAGCCTAAAATCCCAGGTATCCAAAACTTTTCTTTAAGAACGAAGCAAAATAATGTTGTCAAATTAAAGAGTACAACTAAGATGTAGCGCGACAACGAAAGTAGCGTGTATTACGTTTAGTCGGTTAATCAGGCGATGATGTCAATGGCGACAGCTCTCTCGTCATTTGCGCTCGCGTTCCTATTTTGTTGAATTTATCTTGTTTCTTTGTTTTGTTTTCGTTATTAAGTTATTCAAGTTTAGGTTATTCATCGTTTGTAATTAATGTGTTCAAATATTTTAAAGAAACTTGGCCCAAAGACACATATCCGTACAAGAAAGAAATCCATACATCAGATTCAGAATAGTTTCTATTTAAACATGATAATGAAATAGACCCATAGGCAAGGCTCTTGTACGATTTAGGCATTTGTAGTTGTATATGTGTGTATGACAAATGAACGAGTTTAAAGTGAATTTGGTTAAAATTAAAACACGAGAAATATTTGAAGTAATAGTAGGTTAAGTATCTCTGTGTCACGTGGTTTTCTTTGTTTACCTTTAGTTAATTACCTAAACAGATGGACTATACGTATTAGTAATGTAACGAATATTACATTTTAGATATTAAATGTCAATTTCAAATTTTGGATATCAAAATTAATGTCAATGTCAAAAGTATGTAAATATTTACAACCCAGCCTTAGTGACTTAAAACAAAATTTTATACTAATTTACATGCTATTTTAATACGAATGATATTTCTGCCAGTATTAGTAAATGTTCATTGATAAATATATTGACAACAAATTAAAGTTTAAATCGTTTTATCATTTTATAATTTACTAGCAAACCCGGCGAACTCCGTTTCGCCATCAGATAGCTTCGTTTTATATAACATTCTTTCCAAGGAATACAAAACCGTGGAAATCGGTTCGTGCGTTTTGGAGTTATAGCGTCAGGAGTGAAGATCCGACTTATTTTTATATAGTAGATTTATTGATAATATTTATAACTAGCTGACCCGGCAAACTTCGTACTGCCTAAAAATTTTTTTTTTTCACCTTTTAAATCTTCCTTGGACTTCCATGAACATTTCAAGACCAAAATTAGCCAGATCGGTTTAGCCATTCTGGAGATTTAGCGAGACTAACGAACAGCAATTCATTTTTATATACAAGATTTATTTATTAATGTTTTTGTAGTTAATTCGGGATGTTTTGATCAAAACCAAAAATGTTGAATATGTCAGAAACTAGCCACTTTCAGTCCTCAGTTTCAGAGACCTCAAGGCTAATTTTGTAGGAAATTATTTATATTATACTCCTCCCCCTCCCGAGAGTAATACGTCGAGTTACAAGTCGTCGTGTTAAGAGTTACAAGTACATATCGAGGGGTAACGGGCTATTTGGTTTAAGCGACATTTTGGGCGATATTGAGTTATATATATATTCGGAATCAGCGAATTTTTCTCCGTCGAATGATGCCGGTTTCATTAAAATCGGAGCACTTTTTTGGCGTTTCAAACAATTCTATTTCATGTTGTTTCCAAAGTGGCAGTGTATTAAACGACATGGATTTCGCATTTTTTATTAAATGTACTTGAACCATACCATCATATAATAACCGAGACATAAACCAGTCACCCTATCTCTAATTATTAAGTCAACATGAGTTAAAGCGTTTTTCTTGTTTCTAATTTTTATTAACAAGTAACTTGAATCATTTTGACTTCCCACTAATCACACGGTGTGATGTCGCTTAAAACATTTGTCCGTCATCCAAATGAATCATGGTACGTCTCTTAAACATTTCTAGCTGCCTCTATTTTCTACGCAGGGTGCTACTTAAACCAAATAGTTGTTTTCGTTCAGATATTTTGTTTAGTCATAAACCATTTAACCCTCATTTTTTTTTAAATGCATGTCGTTTTGTACAGACGATAACATTGATAATGAATATTGAAACATTTTTCCAGTATTCATAGAAATACGAGTCGGTCTTTCAATCACTAAGTTTTAATATGGTACATTTCAATCATGTCATATGATACCATATTTATTCATCGCCCTGGTGTTAAAAATCGTTATCATCCAACTGGACTATCGTGCGCTGGCGCTTCAGTCACTCCAGAGTGCGCCGAAGACAGACGGACGCGCGCACACCGCCAGTGTTTACGTAAAACGCTCATCGAAATTGAATCCTAAGTACTTTAATTTCAAGATGAACCGCGGTCGTTCGAAGACTTTGGCAACAATGACTTTATGACATACAATCTACGGCTGATTTAGCAACAGCTTTCGACGTTAGCGTCAAAACAATATTGGTACATTTGCGTCAAATTGGCAAGATAAAAAAGCTTGATAAGTGGGTGTCCCACAAACTAAATGATCAACAGAGCTAAGTATGCATCGAGCAGTGCGAGGGGGACTGGGATGCCGTCTCCTCCTTTTGCGAAGCAGTTATGCTAGCTAAGGAGGAGGCGGGACGCGTGAGGCAGCGAAGCGCTGGCTCCTCGCAACCCAGCCATCGCGAAGGACACACCTGGCGTCGGGGATCGCGGGACGATCTCCAGTTACCGTAAGCGCGGGCCTGCGGACGGTGAGCATGGGTGGCTCCCGTCCGACCAGAAACAGACCCGAGCGTACGGCGTCGCGTTCCGCGCGCGCCTCAAAGAGCCATCAGACCACCACAGATGGGGCCCAACAGGGTCGATGCCGATTCGGAGTCGCGGAGAACCTAACGGGTAACCGGGGCTCCGACTCGACGTGCAGGAGAAGAAACGGGGTGATTTTTAGTCAGTAAGAGTCTGACACTCTTTCCCGCCTCACCCAGGCGGGAGCAGTCATTCGATGATTTTCCACCCTTAAAAAAAATGCATCGAGTAGTGCCTTGCACTGCACTGCTCAATATACACACAAATGAAAGAATTTTGATTTGCATTGTCACCTCCGATGAAAAATGAAATCTGTGTGATAACCACACGCGTTTAGCATGTTGGTTCAATCCTAGTTCAGCACCTAAACAATGCCCTAAACGAAAACTTACCCCTAGAAAAGTGAAACTGATGGTCTAGCGCTCGCGCTATTCTGATTCATCACAAATTCTTACCAAACGGAGTGAGCATTACTACGGATGTGTAGTGTGAAGAACTGAACACAATGATGGAGAAGCTGACACATCTCCAACCAGCACTGGTCAATCGCTAATCTCCATTGCTCCTGCATTACAACGCGCGACCTAAAGCTGCACAAGAGACGGCCTCCACGTTACAAGAACTGGGGTTGTGAAGCTCTCCGACATCCACCTTACTCACCAGTCACCAGACTACTTCTTTTTCCAGAATTTGGATAACTTCTTGGCGGGAAAAAATTTAATAACCGAGAGGCAGTACAAAATGCATTTGAAGAATTTGTTGCTACCCGTCCAGCTGATTGAAGAAGGGCATCAATAAACTGCCACTGCGTTGGCAACGATGCATTGATTGCATGGGTGATTACGTTGATTATACAAATAAAAAATACATGAAAAAATCGTTTAAATTTTTTCATACAAAACGGCAATTTCAGTAAATGACCCATTAATTTAATTGATTTTGCTGAAATATAATCGATATTCCTATTGAAACTGTATTATTACTCTAAATAAATACTTTGATATTGTGTTGTGTTTATTTATTCAATGTAAGCATCTGAGATTTTCGGTGATTGCGATATATCCAGGTTGTTTTATCAGCCATTAATCGCCTTAGATGTAAATAAACATAAACATTAAACGTTATAATTTCAATGTTATATGTCACATAAGTAAATTAGCCTGTCACTCATTTTAGTCTGAATTGGTAGTTAAGATAAATAGCTTGCTTCTATTAATTTTGGGTTTCGTCACTTCATATTTTTTAGCTTACTAAATAGAGTGCATTGTCGCTTAATTTTTTTTCCTTGTAGCCAATTGTAGTTATGAAGTCACTTAAATCGTTTTTCCTGACTCTAAAAAAGGGCAGATTGTATTAAGC